TGTTACACCTGAAATTAAACAGGAGACAAGTAAACATGCATGGTACTTTAGAAGATGCATAAACAGGTTGCAAAGATATAGGAATTAGAAAATTTGAGTTTGTTGAAAAAAACTCAATTACTACATGAAATTGAATTAATTAGAGAAAATTATGTAATTCTAGTTACAGAGCGTAGGGTTGGAATTTGTTTAATAACAATCTAAAAACGTTCCATTCTAAATAATTTCATTTATTTCTGACCATACGAGGATATGGCGTTGGTTAAAAAGGAAAGCTAAACAAATATATATTTGAGACATGTAGTCATGAGCTTTGATCAATTAACTTCCTTTCCCTACAGTATAGTACTTTATACACTATACTAGTACACATTTATACTCCTTATTGTCATGGCTTATCAATATAAATTATTACTAATTCAATTTGCAACATAATTCTAGTAACCTTTTACCCTTTTTGAATTAGACACAGATAAAATGTTCCATGGAACAAGAGCAGAAGTTTTTAAAATAAACGGGCAACTTCGTTACCGAAGGGAAAAATCGATAAATTTAATGCAATGATTAGTTGAATATCATTCTTAACAAAACATGTTATTATTAAAATCTACAAGCCTTCATTGGATAATAGTAGGGGTGGACAAAAAACGTTCTTTTTTAAATTAACAAAGAACTTTGTTTTTAGTTAAAAACAAGCAATTATTTTATAAGCATTTCAGTTCAATTTAAACTTTAAATGTTGCATTTCAACTTTAAAGTCGCCATTTTGTGAATTTTCCTGTTTTTGTTGGTGGTATTATACAGAAACACACAAAGGATAAATTTCTTTATTCTGGCCGATGTTAACCTTCTCTGGGGTCTTATGTAAGTTTTCACTAAAACTTGGGGCCTATCGGTTCAGCCGTTTTGACATCCATTGAATACAAACAAACCAACAAACAAGTAAAACAATATAAATTTATTACTTACAAAGAATGATAATTGAACAACAACCTTTTGCTTTGAACATAATCTTTAAATGCTGATAAGTAATACTAAAGAAATAGGCTGGTTATTTAACTGAATGAAAAAAAGACAAAGTAAGATCTAAAGTCTCTAGGTGAACCTGTACATTTAGGCACAGGGGCTTTCGGATCATTTCGTTTGTTCATTGTTCTTGAAGGACCCATCATCTCTTTCAGTTTTTTTTTTCAATCGCTCAAAAAACTATAGTTTTTGACAAAATCTTTTAAAAAATTTGTTCGTTCAGTTTTTTTCAAGTTCGTTCTAACAATTTATATTGTTCGTTTTTTATTCCTTTTTACAGAGAGATCGTTTTTTTCATTTCTCTGAAGGAAACAAGTCGTTCGGCCAATCGATCGTTTTTTTCTCCTGAACGACACTATCATTCATAAAAAAATGATGTTCTTTCTCAAAAATTTCGTTCGTTCACAAAAACGAAGCCCATCTATTTGTATATTCAGGTTAAGAGTTGATAACATTGAATTTGATTCATAGTATTTCATTTTGATAAGAGAGTTACCAAAAATATCAACATATAATTAATTGGTTTCCGGTAAAGAATTACTATAAGCACCTGTGACTTTCTCCTTTTATTTAGTTTTTGGTTTGTTACTGAACAACAAAAACACTGATCAAATGATGCTTTTTATTTTTCATCCCATCTCATCCTTCATGCTTAGAGAGTGGCAAAAAAGCTGATTTTTATACATGAATTTTGGTTTTGCAACAAACTCTGATTTTATAATGCTTATATATTTTCAACCCACTGTATTAACAAATAGATTGATCTTGATTGATTGATTGATGATGTCAGAGTTTAAACATTGAACCGATCTCCGTGTTTTTTTAACGCCAAAATTCTATGTGTAATATAGCATGTTTGTCAATATTATTTTTTGATTATTGTTTTAAATTTTGAAAATTCTCTTGTAGTTTTAGCTGTAGTTGTAGTTGTAGTTGTAGTTGTAGTTGTAGTTGTAGTTGTAGTTGTAGTTGTAGTTGTAGTTGTAGTTGTAGTTGTAGTTGTAGTTGCAGTTGCAGTTGTAGTTGTAGTTTGTAGTTGTAGTTGTAGTTGTAGTTGTAGTTGTAGTTGTAGTTGTAGTTGTAGTTGTAGTTGCAGTTGCAGTTGTAGTTGTAGTTGTAGTTGTAGTTGTCGTTGTAGTTGTATCATTCTTTTCCCGATTGATACCAGAGCCTAAATCTCAAACAATTTTCCTTTTATGGACGTTTAGAATATCTGCTTATGATTTCCAAATCCAATTTGACAGTGCTGCACAAAACCCTTTAATCGTGTTTGTAAAAAATATTTAACATTGAAGTTTAGGAAATCTTTTAAACCCTAAACAGGTGGGGGGGGGGCGTTTAGCGCCCCCTGTAGATTTTTTGTCCTAGCACTCTCATTTTTGACACTATCACCGTGCAATTTTGTGACTTTTAATGAATAGTAATTTAAAGGATTTTTTGTTCAATTTTTTTTATTTATAAGGTAGCGTACAGGGCGAAAAAACATTCCGGTCTGTGAAAAAAAATTTAAATTAGCCCATAACTTTTTTGTGACTAAAGCTAGATCTAAAAACTATATTTTTTAAAAGCCCTTGAAAAATGCATGTAGAAACGTGTGTCACATTTTGAGATTTATTCAAAACAAAAAAATATTTTTTAAATTTCTTTTAACCTTTTTTAGGCATTTTATTAAACCTCCCTAGCGCCCAAACTATTAAAGTTATCGATCTATTTTTGTATAGCATGGAAGGACAGAATTGTTGTTTTTTCAATTAGCTCGGGCATTTTTATATATATTTAAGTTAAAAAAATCATTCAGAGTCATGAGGCTTTGGAAAGCGTTTGTTTTATAGGGTCATCCTTTGAAGTGTATCTTTTAATGTACTTATAGTTATTTTTAATGGTTATTACAGAAATAATGAATACTCAATCAAAATAATGTTTAACTAACGTACTGCATTGGAAGGAAATCAAAACAAGTTTAAACTAGTTTAAGATGGAGCACAGCGATGTTTCGTCACTTGATCACTTGAGAACTTGAGCACTGCAGCATTTCAGAACTTCAAATGATTTTCAAAATTATACCGCGGAGGCTGTATAGGTAAGTTATCTAACTTTTAACTTCAAAATCGCCATTTAAGGATAATAAATTCATAAATTCACAACGGCCCACTTTAAACCTAAGTTAAAGCTATAAATTAAATCACTCGTTTTCTCTCTGAAAATTAATTGTTTTCAATTTCGTGACTTGCGGTTTTATAAACGGAGATGAGAATTGAAATTAAAAGAAATCCGTTGATAATCTGACATGTTAAATGCCTCAAAGTCAAGTTCAGGGTCATTTGAAATTACCTCGATGACCTTTAGATTTTGTTCAATTCAAATTTCCTTTAATTGCAATAGTTTATCATCGTAAAATTAAAATTGAAGGTGGTTTTAATGTGAAAATACTATGAAAATTTATAATCATATTTTTGATTTATACTTTTTTGTAACATTAATTACAAAAAAAATCATTAGTAATTTGTTAACTGAGCTGAAAACTATATAATGGTGGATATCAAGATTTATATGCTTAAACTCATGGTTTTACTAAACCAAGATTATTTTAAAATGCATGCGATATCCAAGAAAGAAGTTAAAAATTTAACCAATCAGCGTGTCATGTTAAGATATACTCTTTAACTTTTGAAAAACCGTTTTGATTTCTGGTGTTGATGATGTCATATCAATTGAACTTAACATCAATTGAACAAACGTAAGTTTTGGATTAATCAGGAGCGTAGTGGGCGGGGGCCGGTACCCCTGTGCCCCCCGTGGCCCGTAGACATGCACCCTCTAGCCCCCCCCCCCCTAGAGCCAGAGGCAGGCTCTAATTTATTAAACAGTAAACAGATTTTTTACTTTTCTCATCATTCGACAATGTCACAATTTGTCCATTTTACGTTTATTTCTTAAATTCTTTCTTGTACCTTAATCTTATTTACAATATTTTTTTTCGCGGGGTTTCATTTAAAATCCGTTTCAGTCTCTCAGAGCAAGATGATTGACGCAGAGTTTTATTCAAATCCGCGGTTACCGGACCTTTTTTTTGGTTAAGAAATATTTCTATTAACAATGTTTTGGGACATCTTTTTTCTCACAAAGCGCCACAAATCCAGATTTAGGTATCGTGAAAAAGCTTTAAATAATACTGTCTTTAGTGTAATCAAGTCTTTTGCTAATAGATTTTATAATGGTATGATTGGTAATTATGATCAGATGACTAAAAGTCAGCCTTCAAGTAGATTAATATAGATTTTAACCTTTATTTTTTTCTTAATATCGGTTTTTAGGGGGTGCACATCAACCGTTAGGGGGGTGCACAAAAAAAGTCCACCCCCCTCTAAGCTTATCCTCAACTACGCGCCTGGGATAAATATTTATTAAGACTAACGATCAAAATGACAATAGTCCTAAAATATGTTTTTTATAATTTTATATTAACATGATAAAAAATCACATTTGTTTAAATGCTCTAAAATCCGGCTTGTGAATAGTTGACTTTAATTCAGTCGGATATTAGTCCAATCGATATACTATTGTATCTTAATTGTTATCAAACGTGTAAACAGAAAATCAAAAGTGTGTACATTGGATAATCAGATTAAGCGATCGTGAAAAAGGATATCTCATTCTAAAGTTTTTACCTCTGTTTATACAATTCATAACATTAATTTAGGAAAAAATAATATTAAATATAAATTATCATCCGGAAAATTTGTTATTATTTTCTTCTTCTTTTGTAAAACTTGTCTGCATAGTATTTCTTTATTAATTGTATTATTAATCGAGAAAGAATTATTAAAGTTTATAATTATTATGTTTTATTTGAAGTTTTTTTAGTTTCTTTTGGTAACACATTAATAACCTTGTAAATATAGTTTCTACAATTAAACATTTGTTTATTTTCTAGTATTTAAAAATTCAAGAAAAAGATTTTTTATGTTTTAGGTCCAAATATTTACAAGTGGGAGTCACTCTTTGTTTTCTCTTCTTTTGGGCCTCTCAGCTCCTATATCACTCAACCAAGGTAAAATTGTGGAAAACTATTAATATTCAAAGGGATTGTTTAGATATTTTGACTTTTTATATTTCGTTCGTTCATCGTTCGTGAACGACCCATATCAGTCGTTTGTTCAGTCGTTCACAAATTATTTTGTTCGTTCATTTTCAATCTATTTCATTCTTTTTATCGCTGAAACATTGTTTAGTAAAACGGCTGGTTCAATAAAATCGATCTTTCATTAAAAAATGGATTTTTCAAAATTTTGTGAGAAAATTCGTTCGTTCAGTGAAACGTCGATTGTTTTTCAAGTTCGTTCGAAAAGTAAAAGGTATCCACGGCTTTCCCCTACAGTAACCCAAGGGTCTGCAACTACTTTAGAAATACTAATAAAGCACAAAATAAAGTAATAAATTCACATGTCAGGGCTACAAAAAATATATGTGAATAAGTTACGTAAAATAAAAGGTCAAGGCGACAATTTACAGTCTCCACTCAGTCTGAAAATTCGACGAACTTTTCAAAGCGCTCTGGATCCATGTGGGTCTAAGCAGTAACCACAATTATGTATTTTGAAAAAAATCTAATGATTATTGTCATTTTTTTCGGTAAATTATCTTTTTTTAAGATTATCAAACTTTGAAATTTGATTTCCTTTCCATACATAAGTTCACATTTTTCATGAAGGCTTAAATCGTTCAAGCGTTTGTAGCAATAAGTTTATTGAAATTACCAAGAAATGGTTTTAAGATTATATTTTCCCCATGCACTAAAGCTCGGGACAAAATATAATCTACAGAGGCTTCCATAACGAAAAAAGCAAATTTCTACCCAAGAACTGTATAGTACTGTGAACCAAAATATTAATATTATAAATACTTGTTACAATATTATATTTTCCTTTTTAACCCTTAATCGTTTTTAGGAATATTATTCATTCAGAGAGTCAATAATAATAAATAAATCATCATTAAGCACTCCACCCCCTTCTACACCACCCCCTTCTACAACTACCACAGCTGCCCCCAAGCTAAAGGATGTTGTGTACGACAGTGAATGGATTCATGTACCGTTGTCAAATGGTAAATCAGTCTACCAGTACTCAGCATACCAGGTACATGTGTCAGTGTGCAGTACAATCCAGTATTATGTACAATTCAATACAATCCAGTACAATCCAGTACAATCCAGTACAACCCAGTACAATCCAGTACAATTCAGTACCATTCTGTACAACCCAGTACAATCCATTACAATCCAGTACAATTAAGTACAATCCAGTACAATCCAGTAAAATCCAGTACAGTCCAGTACAATCCAGTACAATCCAGTACAATCCAGTACAATCCAGTACAATCCAGAACCATGCTGTACAATCCAGTACAATCCAGGTGGTATAATCCATTACAATTTCTAGTACAATGCAGTACAATTCAGTACAATCCCGTACAATCCAGATAAATTTAGTACAATCTAGTACAATCCAGTACATTCTAGCATAGTCTGCAGTACAGTCTAGTACAATACAGTGCAATAAAAGACAATGCAGTACAATCCAGTACAACCCAGTACGAAATTAAGAATAATTTTTATTGTATTATTTAGGATAACCGGGTTGGATATCCAATTGTACGAATTATTGGAATTACTCAATTTAAGTTTAAAGACAAACTTGACTGTATAATGGGTAAGGCATCATTTTTGGCACATTTATTGAAGTTGCCTGGGTTCTCTGGGCCGTCCTTTGACTGATGTAATTTCAAATGAACCTCAATTTTTAGAAAGGGCCATATGGATATCAAGGGTAGGTGTGCAATATTGATTTTACAACATAAACGTCCTATTTGAGTCAAATAAGGTTCGATTGTTTGAGCAATTTTTTAGAGAGAAGTCACTGAGACAAAGTAATGCTGTGTTGAAGTTTTGAAATCCGAAGGAAAATTCCGTGAAACTCCTGAAATGGGTATTTTAAACACGAATGAGAGACCATTATTACTTTGGCAGGCTGTTGGCACCCCCACATCTTTTAATAATGGTTGTAAGAATCTATATATCTAGATTATCCAGAGTGGGGAACTATAGAATGGATAACCTTTAATCCCTAAACCTTAATCCGAATATCCACTGTGGAAACTTTTAATTTTAGTTCTTAATCCACTCTTTTTCTCTCTCTTTGGATATCCGTACGTTGTTTTCTCCAATGAAAGTGTAGGAATTCAAGGAGTATGAAACAAATGACGCAGCCCGCCCTATCATATCATGACATAATCTGAGCAAAAAGAGAGGATTCAGCATTAATCCTGATATCCACCATTCTAAAGTTCCCAGCTCTGAATACGTTGTAATTTCTTGAAGAAAAAGAAATAAAGTATATATGTTTTCTTTTTCGGAATAGTTGTCTGTAACAAAGACGACATTATAAATATATTGCGGGTTTACAGGATCTATTCAAGGATGAATATATCTACAGAAAAAAAAAATTATAAATTAAAATCATTATAAATTAATGCAAGATACAGTTGATCAATGTTTGTGAATGAAGAGATTATACGAATATATTCATTTTGTCTATTCTCAACATGAAACACAAGACAAATGCATTTTAAGAAGAGTATTGTTAGCCCCCCCCCCCTGACCCACTAAAATACCCCACCGTGCGGAACCCTTTAGACCTATATCTGATCAATAAAGTGAAAGATATCTTCTAGCTAACAATAGTGTTTATCTCTGTGTTTGTTATATAAATCCGCATTTAAATTTTTACAGAGAAACCATATTTAGAAATAATCAAATTTTTACAAGAAATAAAAATCGAAATCTAAAAAATAATGTCCGCCATCTCTTCAAATTTGTTACAATTAATTAATATTGCCATTTGAAAATAAGGAACTTTAATCTGTAAATTGCTTATTCATAAAAGTGGCAGGCGGAGCCAGAGAACCTAGAGGTAATAGACCCGAAAGGAAAGGATAGACGCAAGAGAGAGAAAGGAATGAATATCGTCAACAACATTTCTTGGTTGCTTTCTTTTTAAATGTTTGACGGAATAATGGAACAGAAGGACACAACTAAATTGGGTCTGAGAGTTCCATTTTCTGTCATTAGCAAATCAACGCAGATGCGTCTGATAAACATTGTTTTTATTGTATCGCAACTCTATAATTAAGATTAAGGAAAAATAGAAAGCAAGATCAGCCCTCATAAAACAAGTGCTATATAGAGTACACCCATATGTCAGTTTTCTAATGATAAAACAACGGCGCAACACAAAAATAGTAGAAAGACTTTGAAAACGAACATGGACACATTTACTGATATATCTAATTTTTTTGTATGCGTGTGCAAATACGCCTTATTTTGTCCAAAGCATGACTTTTTCCTTTATTAGGTACAAAATGGTCTTTCTTGTTCTCATGCCTTTGCTGCAGAACTATTCTCTTTACACCTGCTGCACCCTAATACTTATATTTACAAGGGAACATATTAGATTGAGCATATAACAGTTATATTTGACTAAAAATATCCTAAAATATATATTTTCACTTTGATATTGTTTTAGAGGATGAGCATGGTTACAGGTTGTCGACAGAAGTAGATTTAAGGTAACATCCCTTTTTTCGGAATAAAATAAGATTTAACTTAAATAGAATTTGGAGCATAATATAATAGTCGAATAAAGTATAACAAAAACAATCTTGATTTTGGTATATTGGTTCATTCACATTAGTATCCAGTTTTAGTATATAATGTCGGGATAAAAAAGTCTCTAAGATTCCGATTTTTGAGCTGTACTATATTCCTCTTAATGGTTGATATCATTGGACTCACAGTCCAAGGTTAAGATCAGAACTTCTCTATGCCTCAGAATTGTATCAAAAACCTCTTCTTCTTCTTACATCTTTCTTTTGTTCCTATTGAAACCTCCATTATTCCAATAATTTATTTATAATTTATTTTTATATATACATATTATTTATATATTCATATTATTTATATTTAAGCATTTAGACATATTTGTTTGCATATTTTATATTCAGACAAAATAAGGAGCACTGGAATCTTCCATGGTCATCATTCTTCTTCAACTGTAGAATAGAAGGAAACTTTATACCAAAACAGGTTCTTTATCTTCTTTTTCTTCTTTTTCTTCTTGGTGTTACAGGGAGAGAAGATTTAATGTCTATATTTCAGGTTCGGTTGGTGTTACAGGGGGAGGAAATACAAAATGGTACAAACTGGACCAAAGTTGTTTCCACTCATCCAATAAGAATTAACGATGCTCATGCATTAAAAAGGTTATTATTTAAAGCTGCAATGTGTGTAAATATTTTGTGCGTCCTCAATGTATAGAATTATACTTAATAGTGTTTATCCAGAATGTGCGTCCTGCAGAGAATATGAATAAAGTATGTCTATTATAATCTAGAACAATAATTAAGATTTATCTAAAACCTCTAAAAAAAGTTTATATATTATGAAAGGGCACTACGATTACCATTTATTGTTTTAATTTATCCGGTTGTCAGACTTCAGTTCATAGGTTTAATATACTTAATTATATTTTGTACACAATGTACAATATATAATTAAGTATTCATATTTATATATACTTCCATTTATACTTTCTATAAAGTATAAAGGGTCTGTTCACTCCTGTATGCCGAGTCCATTAGCGCCTGATCAAATCAGGGTTCAGTAATGGGTTTGTTGTTTATTCTGAACCAATAGAAATAGTATGGCGGTAACTTCTATCTTTCTATCTATCTCATTATCCAATTAGAGTTATGAATCTTTCAATCAGCGCTATCAGTAAATGGAAATATTTACTTCTACTGAAACTATAGTGGTATGACCCTCCATACAAAGAGGTGATTGTCTGTGTTATAACGGTTTCCTTTCACTGATTATCGACAACTGAGTATTGTGTGTGTTAATTTTTCATTTAAAAAATTTGTCTAAAACAAATGAACATTTTTTTAGGAATTTATCCGGGTTCTCTGTTTGCGTGAAACCTTTGTACAATAATCACGACAGGAATGTTTTCATGTAATACTTAGATAGAAGAATATAGATAAGCTTTTAATAATTGAGATAAATCAAATTTTCTGTAATACATAATTTTCTCATTATTTTATTAGTCAATATTTGAAATTAAGCTTGTTTTGCAAGAAAATTAAAGTTAATTTTTACCACAGTAAAGTTCATGTTTACCACAGTAAAGTTCATGTTTACACCAGTAAAGTTCATGTTTACCACGGTAAAGTTCATGTTCGCCACAGTAAAGATTATGTTTACCACAGTAAAGTTCATCTTTACCACGTAGAGTTTATGTTTACCAAAGTAAATTTCATGTTTACCACAGTAAAGTTCATCTTTACCACAGTAAAGTTCATCTTTACCACGTAGAGTTTATGTTTACCAAAGTAAAATGTTTACCACAGTAAAGTTCATCTTTACCACGTAGAGTTTATGTTTACCAAAGTAAATTTCATGTTTACCACAGTAAAGTTCATCTTTACTACAGTAAAGTTCATCTTTACTACAATAAAGTTCATGTTTACCACTGTGAAGTTCATGTTTACAACTGTAAAGTTCATGGTTACCACGTAAAGATTATGTTTACCACAATAAAGTTCATGTTTAAAGTTTAAAGTTACCAAAGTAGAGTTAATGTTTAATTTATCAAATTAAATTTAATATCGATAACTATTATTAAGGGAAAAAAAGAATTTGTAATTTTAATTTTAATTTTAATATATGTTGGACATGAAAAATTAATTATTTCTAGAGCTCTTTGGTTTCTAGAGTTCATCGAATTCTATAGACTACTAGGAATACTGAGATTAGAAGAAGAAATTCTGATTATATACTTTTATATCTGGTTCATTCAAATTCAATTTTTCAATCTTTAAGAAAATTTAATGTTATTGTTGATGTTTATATTTGGAAAAAATAAGAAAAAAATCACTAAATGGACTTTAGGAAATTGATTATTCTTCATGAACTCTTGCTGTTAATCCTGTTATCCAACCTGCTGATATCGTAGACCTTGATATTTCAGACTATAAACTTTGCCAAACCAAATATTTAAGTTTGAAGTGTACACTATCAGGTTGCATAGATATCTATATCAGACAGGTTATAAATTCAGTGTTTTGTGCAAGTAATCAGTTCTTATCTAATTCTAATTCTGAATATCTAAAAAGGTGCAACTCATTTCTTTTTCTACAATCACACTGTAGGACCACATGTTTCTAGCATAATTAGGTAATCATTTTTTTGGAATTAATTAACTAAAAGGGACTGTAGGTGTTAACCTCTGGAATCCGGGATACTTAAAACTACGACTTTTGTCTTCCCATTTATTTCAATTTAAAGTTAGATTTGGGATATCGATTTGTGATATTGATTTGGGATATCGATTTGGGATATCGATTTGGGATATTAATTTGGGACATCGATTTGGGATATCGATTTGGGATATCGATTTGAGATATTGATTTGGAACATCGATTTGGGATATTGATTTGGGATATCGATTTGGGATATCGATTTGGGACATCGATTTGGGATATCGATTTGGGATATTAATTTGGGATATTGATTTGGGATATTGATTTGGGATATTAAGAGAAAGCAAGAAATATACGAATCAATCATATCCCTCTATTTATTAAATCTGGTCTTTAATTTAATCATACACACTTTAAACCTTTATCTCCAATTAACCATAAGGAATATATTTCATTAGATTAACAAGTGTTTATTACTGACATAGATAAAGATAGATTGCACATAAGACGACATTTTTCATCTTGAAAGAATGAATGTACAGAGATGTTTGAAAGATATTCCTATTTTAAAGATTAACTAGGTCGCTTGTGAACATTGGCTGTTCTTATGTCATTGAGTACTTGTGGTGTACATGAGTTCTGTATAGAGAAATTTAAGTTTAGTCCTTCTCATGTCCTTCTTCTGATCTCGTCAATATGATGCATTGCTCAGTGAAATATTGTTGTTCAAATAGTTCCATTCCCGGAGTTATTTTACACTCTATTAAAACACCAAACCACCCCGCTTATCATTGAAGTACACTTTGACCCCCATAAGTATGAGTTCATGGACTATACAATTCTTGGTGATTTTGTGTACATAAGCTATCTATGTTTATTTATTTATCTATGATTACTGACTATAAATTTTTTGAATCTTTGTTAAAGAAATCCAAATCGAAAATTAGTCGTTTTCGGGAAAAAGTTTGAAGTGTGTAATATGATGTATATATCGTTGTATATGTAGAAGACAGAGTGTTAGAGAATCATCCCAAATAGATATCCCAAATATATATCCCAAATATATATCCCATGCAAATCAATATCCCAAATCAAGTTGCTCAAGTTCCCTACAATCTACATAGTACTCGTTTGATATAAATTAGTTTTAATAAATTATTAGTTTCGTGAATCGGTTGATATTTGAGTTGTTGTGAACCATTATTAGTCTGTTCAAACAATGCCCGTCTGTAATAGATTGGTCTAATCAAAAATAAACTAGATATCAATGTCTATAATTTCAAATGATGATTATTTTTCAATTCCGCATTTCTACTGCAGGAAAACATTTAGGAATTATCAGATTGAACACTTTAAACCCTATCTTCCAAATTATTGATTATATAAAGGTTTCAAGGGTACCGTTATGAATGGAGCATTGCCACCTTGAATGGAGCGTCAATTGAAATTACGCTTACAGTCCCTTTAAAAACTCGGTAGTAGCCAACTCCCTGGTCAATTCAACTCTGCCAGAAAACTGATTATAAGACTAATCAATCAATCAATCAATCCAACACAAATATACAAACATATTGAACTCGTCTTGTTTATCTGTCAAATTTTTTCATAAAGTACAATATTAACGTGCTTCATCATTGCGTCTTAATTTTGATATTTAATATTCCGGGACCTGTATCTGGGAAGGAATTTAAAATAGGTTGAGCTGCATTTTGAACCACTGATTCCAAGTTTAAGTTGTTGGAAGGATTTGAATTGGTCACTCAAATTTAAACCGGCAGAGGCAGTTTAAATTCATTAAATTTGGCTCCAGCCTAACTTTTATTTTTTTTTCTCTAAGGCACTATCAGAAGAAGAATGTAATTACACTATTGCCCTGGAATCTACCGATAGAATCTAAAACTAAAATCAGGTATTTGTAAACTAATACAGGGGGCACATATTAGTCAATGATCACTACAACAAAGATGAATTTAAAATTGAAAATTAAAATTCCCTTTTAACTTAATTAAATTACAAGTACTATGGTAATCATATATATATATTTTTCTTATCAATGCAATTGTTTAAAATTGTTTCCTTATTTATATGCATATAAATATATATATATACCTGAGTTCATTAAACTTAGTTAACATTTAGAAGGTCTACAGCATCATGTTGCAAAGATATAGCGATTAAACTGTATGATCTTGTAGAATTCATATTTTGAAATTTTTTAAAACAATGGTCCATTCAAAATCTACCAAGTCCGACGTTTTTTCTTATAAATGTACCCGTCCGACGTTTGTACTGGTCCGACGTTTGTACCAGTCCGATGTTTGTACTATTCCGACGTTTGTACTGGTCCGACGTTTGTACTGGTCCGACGTTTGTGCGTCTGACGTTTGTACTGTCCGACGTTTGTGGCGTCCGACCTTTGATATTTCAAGCTCAGATTATTTGATCTAACAGAATTCATTGTTTGAAATATCTTAGGTATGCAACATTTCCAAAGATATAGTGATTAGAAAATCAGAGTTTGTGGCAATTCCTTTACATTTTTTATCCTTCCTCGGCGGCAATTAGCTACACCTTCCTGTACACGCTTTACATAGTACCCTTTTCGGCGTCAGTACTGTACAAGTAAATACGCCTAAGTAAACTATACATACGCACTGGAAGCCTAGTACATTTGAATTTCCGAGCCGAGTCAACCTTTCCGGTCCCAGTTTGTACTGTACCTAGCTCTACGGACAGGACTAGCCGGTGCAACAAGGTTGACGCGGTCAGACTTTATGCTTCAGATAGACTGAATTTATTATTACTAAAGGGGCAGTGGTGTGTGTACGGGTTAATTCTTCGTTATCTTAATATTTCTGTTTTTTTTATGTTTTCATGAATTTTTGTTTTATATGAGTTATTTTGTTACTTATACTTTTTTCATTTATGCTAATGCTTTCATGGTAAATTTTATTTCTACAGTAATCATCGTGGTAGTACGTTAAATTATATGTATATATATCACAGTGCATGAAAGTTTAAGATATTTCTATTTTTTAAATTTAAATTAGCATAAAATGAATTGAGTTTTTGCCCCTATATTCTAATCTCTTTATCTTAGCACCCTTATATCGTTGACCTTAGGTATTTTAAGCTATGAATTCTCCACCCTTAGGTTTCAAAGAAATATGGATTATAATTTTTGTGGCAAAGATGAAAAGAATAAAATTGTCAAGAAATGTTTTAATTCCAAGTAAAAATTAAAATCTTTAAAATGTCATGTTCAAGGGATTTTCAAAAATGTATACTTTATCATTTTTTGGACAATTTTTTTGCTAACATTTTTACTATATAACTGGATTTTGCAAATTCAATTTTTGCAAATTTGCAATTTTTTTGAAAGAATCTAAAAGTAGAGCATAAGAGTCTTTCAATGATGTATCATTTGTCACATTTGGACATCAAACATGGGATTTAGGGGGAGGGTTCAAATTGACCCCCCCCCCAGTGTATCCTGGTTTTCAAGTAGCCCAACAGGGATAGGGTTAAAAGTTAAATGAGTAGTTTTTCAGTTTAATTAATTTAATGCCAATATAATTATTTTCTTAAAAACTATAACATTTCAAAAATTGAAAATTTTTAAAAGTTTTTTTCTGTCCTCTCTTAGTCTAAAAGAAAGATTATTTCAATTACTACCTATTTCCAAAGTATCTCTTTAGAATACACAAAATACTTAAAAAAAGGAATTCAGTCTCTGCAACAAACTTTGGTTCTCGTATCCCTTCATATTTAAAACCTGATGGTGTAAACCTTTTATATTTCAAACTTAGGCGGCTTTTTGAACAGACAGAATTCATAGTATGAAATATAGGTCTACGACATCTGGTTGCAAAAATATAGAAAACAAATCATTTCCTTTATTTTTTACTGAAACAAAATTATTTAGGAACGAAGGACAGTTTTCAGCCTTTAATGATTGTACATATAGATCTATGTACAGGTTCAAGTACACTGCAGTTGTGGTAAAAAAAAAACTTTCATACTTTTCTTTATAATATATTAATTAATTTATAATTAATTATTCTATAAAATTAAGATTAATTTGACAAAAAATATTAAACCAATTCATTTTCATATATTTGAAGAATAAAAGCTTCTTTTAATCTAAAAAACATAAATAATTTCCTTAGAAAATAAGTATTAATGGAACTATTCCACGTCAATGCAATGGTTTCTCAATATTATTAATATTCTAACAGTGAATGCCAGATATATGAATACATAGACCGTCATAAGTTTTTTTAATAATTCTAAAAAACTTCTTTTTATTTTTAATTCATGGTAAATTAATAGCCCTGAAATATGAATTAAACTCATTTTTCCGCGGCATTTGTTCTAAAATATGTTGAGGATAAGACATTATAAAAACTCTTGCTATGTATTCATATATCTGGGATTCACTGTAGTAGAAGAAAAACCTATTAACAGGACGAAAATATATATTTGTCATTTAATTCTTGAAACACTTTTTTTTGAACATTTTCTTAATGTTTTTTTCTAAAGTTGGTCTAATTGCAAGCACAAAATTATTATTGAATTTTTAAGAATGATATTTTATGGTCCATGAATACTTTATTTTCAACTTAAATTTTGATTATGGAATAAAATTGTTTACGTTAAGCAATAACTACTATTTTTTAAAAACACCTGTAAAAAAGAAAGTTTCAGTCCCAAGTTAATGAAATATTAAAATAACAAATAATAAAAAACAATAAATTAAACATGAATTTAAACCATAAATGAATTTTTCTGGTTTCTTAATGTTTTTTTAATAAAAATTATAGAAAATCTCATGGTTTTTTTATGATTGAATTTGATAAACTCATGAAACTAATGAAAGTATATACATAAAAATTTCAATTTCTTAAATTATTTTTTATCTGAATTTCTGGCCATCTTTTTTTCTGTTCTAAACTCACTTTGTATCAGGCTGTTTTGAAAAACTACCGCGAACATAAAAATATTTCCTATATTTTATTAGGACGTGGATGAATATTTGATACCAAAACAAAGTTTAGATATTCCAACGATGTTAGATAAACTAGATGGAAAATCCACAGGTAGAAATATTCACTAAACGGAAACCTTAGATGGAATTTAAAGAATTTTAGCCGCGGTTTAAATCCGCCAAAACCCGGTTTAAATTAAGTGCCGGCTTAAATCTTGAAACATTTGATACAATTTTAAGTGGAACCAACCATATTTAAACCGCGGCTTAAATTTAAACCGCCGCTCAAATTCTTTAAATTCGGCCACTTATCTATTAAAATTTTACCGACTTAGCCCTGCGTACGTCTAAAACTAAAGAATGCTCAAAGTTCAAGCTGTAGCTTAAAAATCTTTAAAATTAATGAAATTAACTTAAATTAAATTTGACTTAATCCCTTACTCATTTATTACTTAAAAAATGTGGGTGCATAAATACGCAAACGCTGAATCATTATGCAGAGAAGCATGATCAATTGTTGGAAAATGATGAGAGATCAGACTGCAAGGTTTTCCTGGGGTTAAATATTTAACTCTTCGATTTAGGTGATTTAAATATTTAAGCTGTACCTTATTACAGTTAAGGTTTAGTTTAAGTTACGAGCGGCATTTCATCTAAAACTTAACATTTGTGTCCTAACTTTTCATTTTTTAGTTTTGGACTATTAGTTATGTATATAAGTATTAGTTATGAATATAAGTTAATTCTGCTCCATGAATATGATTGGTTATATTTTTATACAATATTAATAGATTGAAGAAACAATCATCCTAAATTATAGTCCTAGTCCCTCCATTACCCAAAAGCCATTTTTTACTTACAATTAATTACCGGAGATGGTTTTATTCAATAAATTGAATTTTAAACAAAATTTAAGATATCTCTTGTTTTTTTCAAAGCAATAAATGGCAGACCGCCTTGTTTTTGCATGCAGGAGGTTTTGCACAAACCGGTATGCAAACTGTATTGCAATGTTTGCTTGTAAATCTAAAGGGAGATTAAACCTTTAATTTTGCAATTTTCTATAGTTAATTGATCTAAAGTTTGCGAGCTCTCTAGCAAAAATCTTTTAGAAGTATGACAATTACTTCTATTAAACCTAATCTAAAAACAGCCCGGTGTTTTACGTGTTATGAAGTACTTTTCATAAAAACCTAGATCTTGTATGAGGAATTAAGACAGTTGATAATCATTTATTTTCAATTTGTGATCTCAAAAACCTTCAAAGGAACCAATTGGGTAACAATTATGAGAAAAAACTGAATTAGAAAAAAAAAGACTTTTTTGAAAAATATCTCTGTTTCAACCGCTTAAATTTGTGCTGACAATTAACATATTAGCGATGTTTTTCTTATTAATAGAGGCTATTTTTTTAAGTTAATTTTTTGAAGAAGAAAAATTCTTTTGCCTAACAAAATATTGTGCTTTAAAACCCCTGAAAACTGTTAAAGTATTGGTGGGTGTTGCCCCTTTAACTCAAATATTTGATGACAACGAACTTTGCAGCGGAAACTTTTTAAATATGCGTATTTGCATAAAAGTTTTATATTGATATATGTATATATATATATATATATATATATATATACATATAGATTATAGTTTTCCTGGGGTTGAGAAAAACGACTTAATACCATGAATTCAAGGAATGTCATATCAATGTCATATCAATTTTGATAGAAACCGTGGTTTGTGTGCCTCCCTTGAAAAATGAACAGGCCCAGGTGTTCATTTTCTAGTTCTTGCTATTTTATGAAACACGTATTTCAAGAATACATTTTTAGGTTCATTCATCTTTAGAAATGCCTTCTTTTATCTATATTGGGAAAATGATACATCATTAGTCAGGCAAGTTTATTCTATAATAAAATACTGCGATATGTATGAGATGTATGTATGTAAAATAAATATTTTCACTTTTGACAAATATTAACACGTGAGACAAATTATTATACATCCATTTTTCTTGGGCTTTTCTAATATATAAATGTAAGCCCTAAAGCTTAATTAATAAAAAAAAAAATCATTTCTGATTTTTTTGAAACACCTACCCGCCGTTTGACTGACTTCCACCCACCAATATGCATACATTTTTTTTAAGCAAAATTTGTTCACATTTATCACATTAAAAAGTAAAGAAGTTTCAATATTAGTCGTTTTTTAGAACCCCCCCCCCCNAAAACACGTGCCTTTATTTTAATAATAATAATACCGGTTTTTTGGAGGGTGAACAACGACCGTAATAGGGGACTGGTCAACCAAAAAAACGCGCCAAAAATTCAACCTTCCAAGGCTTAACCTCCACTACACCCTTGTAAATTAATCATTTGTAGGTGATAAAAATGGTCGTAAATCAACGGCACGGTTATAAACTTCTAAGTTTGTTTATTCGTTAATAGGATTAAGTGCTCTACTGCTTAAAAAGCTAAATTTTCATTTTTTTACGCATCTCATTTGTACGAAAAATGCCAATGTATTTAATAGTTTTCAATTAGTCTAAAGCAGAATTTAAAAAATCTTGATTTTAAGTGGCCAAAAAATCTAAACCAAACATTACAATCTGTTTTAAGATAAAGTCTATCTTCAAAGATATTAAAGTTATGCATTTCTAACCGCAAATTACGTAAAAAAGAGATATGCTTCACAAGACCTAAAATCTTTTTAAGTTATAGAAAAGACGACATTCTGTGGCTTTTTAATTAAACCAATTGAGGCGTCTGGTCTCAAGGCCTTATTACCCAGCTCTTTGGTTCTTACTATACTGTTATCATTGTATCCATATCAATGATGGATTATTATTAAATAGTCAGAAATTTTAATCAAACACCAATAAACTTTGTTTGATTGATATAACATGTGTCTCTAATAATAGTTTGATTGATATCGTGTTTCTCTGATGATTTTTTGATTGATATAATGTGTCTCTGATAATTGTTTGATTGATATAATGTGTCTCTGATAATTGTTTAATTTAAATAATATGTCTTTGGTACTTTTTTGATCGCTTTAATGTGTCTAATGATTGGGTGATTAATACAATGTGTATCTGATCATTGTTTATTTGATACAATGTGGCTCTGATAATTGTTTCATTTATACAATGTGTATCTGATGATTTTTTGATTGACATAATGTGTCTCTGATAATTGTTTGATTGATATAATGTCTCTCTGATAATTGTTTGATTGGTATAATGTGTCTCTAATAATTGTTTGATTGATATAATGTGTATCTGATGATTGTTTGATTGACATATTGTGTCTCTGATAATTGTTTGATTGATATAATGTGGCTCTGGTAATTGTTTGATTGATATAATGTGTCTCTGATAATTGTTTGATTGAAATAATGTGTCTCTGATGATTGTTTGATTGATATAATGCGTCTCTGATCATTGTTTGATTGATATAATGTGTCTCTGATAATTGTTTGATTGATATAATGTGTCTCTGATAATTGTTTGATTGATATAATGTGTCTCTGATAATTATTTTATTGTTATAACGTGTCTCATTGTTTGATTGATATAATGTGTCTCTGATAATTGTTTGATTGATATAATGTGTCTCTGATAATTGTTTAATTTGAATAATATGTCTTTGGTACTTTTTTGATCGCTTTAATGTGATTAATACAATGTGTATCTCATCAATGTTTATTTGATACAATGTGGCTCTGGTAATTTTCTCATTTATACAATGTGTATCTGATGATTGTTTTATTGGCATAATGTGTCTCGGATAATTGTTTGATTGATATTATGTGTCTCTGATAATTGTTTTATTGTTATAACGTGTCTCTGATAATTGTTTGATTGATATAATGTGTCTCTGATAATTATTTTATTGTTATAACGTGTCTCTGATAATTGTTTGATTGATATATTGTGTCTCTGATAATTATTTTATTGATATAATGGGTGTGTGATTAGAAGAATTTGGTATCAAAGGTATTAAATGGGTGTGTGATTAAAAGAATGTGGTATCCTGTGGGTATGATTAGAAGAATTAGAAGAAGGGTGTTTTATTAGAATAATGTGGCTTCCAATGGATTTGTGAGTGAAAAAATGTGGTATTCAATGTGTTTGTGATTAAAAGAATGTGGTCTCCAATGGGTTAGTGATTAACAGAATGTGGCCTCCAGTGGGGGTATGATTAAAATAATGTGGCTTCCAATGGGTGTGTGAGTGAAAAAATGTGGTATTCGATGTGTATCCAATAAGTGTGTGATTTATAGATTTTGGACTTAATGTGTGTGTGATTGAAAGAATGTGGTCTCCAATGTGTGTTTGATTAAAATAATGTGGTCCCAATGGGTTTGTAATTAACAGAATGTGGTCTCCATTGGGTGTGTGATTAAAAGAATGTGATCTCCAATGGTGTGTGATTAAAATAATGTTGTCTCCCATGGGTGTGTGATTAAAAGAATGTTGTCTCCAATGGCCGTTTGATTGAAAGAGTTTAATCTCCAATAAGTGTGTGATTCATAGATTGTGGACTCCTATGTGTGTGTGATTGAAAGAATGTGGTCTCCAATGGAAGTGTGATTAAAATAATGTGGTTTCTAATGGGTGTGTGATTGAAATAATGTGGTATCCAATGTGTGCTTTATTAAAAGAATGTGGTCAACAATAAATGATGGATTGATAAAATGTTGTACGATTAGTATTTATTTATCAATGTTGAAAAATGTCTAGGCCGGAAGAGGATTCTAAATACCTTATCACAATGTTTAAAACAAGAAGGATAGTAAAACTACACAACTACGGAGTCAGGTTCAGCTATTTTAATTTGTATCATATATATATATATACATAGCCTGTATTGGTATTTGTTTGTTTGATTTCAAAAAGACCAAACCGATCAGGGATTTATTTCTGAAACAGGTTGTCCCTCGAAACATGACAGTTGGTGAATAGTTTCGAGTGTCTTCTTCCATACACCGTATTAGATGTTAAATACTTTTTGCAGTTTATTTTATTTAAAAAATCTTTTACTCAAATATATTTTACTTTGAAATCAAATTTACTGTAAGATGGCTCTCATACAATATTTTTTATCATTCTCTTTGGTATCAAACAACTTAACAAATTATGGAAGAAGACATTTAAACAATTCACTAATTGTTATGTTTCGCTAGACACCCCGTTGTGCAAGGAGTTCAAGTCAGAGTTTAAATTTTACGTACAGTTTTTCAAATTTCGATAATCCACTTATGAAAACATTGGAAGTCTGCAAAATGTTAATTGTCATTAATATTTTTCAAAATATACTAAATCCTTGTAGATGAATCAACAAATAGTAGGTGGATCAATTGCCAACAAGATCTGGAAACCAAAAACATCCTTTTTTTAGGATTAAATTTACTTTGAGGGTTGAGAATAGGATTTACATTGAGATATATTGAATTTTATATATTTTTAGAAGCAAATATGTAGTAAAAGCGGATGATGTTATAGAGGTAGAATAGATAAATTCTAAGAATTGTTTTAAATTTATTGCTTTTTATTTCACCTGGACCATTAATATATTTTTGCACAGGTTGGAAACCATAATATTTGGCAACATATTCCTGGGAGGAGTGCACTCAAGGTATTTTACAACTAGAGAATCATAATATAGGTTTATAATAAAGTCGTAAAAACGTAAAGACATGTTTTTAATGCTAACTACTCTTATTGAAGAGCATGCATGTTAGTGTTACCAAACAATTATTTTCTTATGCTTGTACGTAAAAGAAATTGAGTCTTTGTCACAAACTCAAATTTTCTAATTTCTTTATCGTTCCAATCTAATATTGTAATTTGTAAACCATTAATTTTTCAAATATAGATTATTCAATCTAGCAGAATTCAAAGTTTGCAATTTCAAAGGTCTACGACATCGAAGTGCGAAGAAATAGGGATAAAAAATCAGAGTTTGTGACAAAGCCTAAATTCCTCTGACCTGTTCCTTCTGTCTACTTTATGTGAAGTTAAGTGTCCATACGTGATTTCCTCCATTTAAATAAGAACATTTTTCTTTATCATTAATAAATGACCCTGGTTTAGGTTAAAGAAGAATTTGGATTATCTCATCACTACAGGTTAGTAAATACTAAATACTAGTGTGAGTAAGCTACCTATTTAAGCAGCAAAAACTATAAACCACCAGCTGAAATTTATGAATTTGGGGCAATTGGAACATAGGTCCATATACTATATAGGTCCATATATAGGTCAACATACTAAAAATAGGTCCATATACTATATAGGTCCATATACTATATAGGTCCATATACTATATAGGTCAATATACTATATAGGTCCATATACTATATAGGTCCATATACTATATAGGTCCATATACTATATAGGTCCATATACTATATAGGTCCATATACTATATAGGTCCATATACTATATAGGTCAATATACTATATAGGTCCATATACTATATAGATCCATATACTATAGCTCCACGCTGTTTAAATTTTTCCTGTAAGGGATTTAAAACGTAATTTCAAACCTTCCATTACTAAGGCTCTATTTCAATTAACATGCATGAGATAGCTGATTTTGTATTAGTTGAACTAGCCCTTGCCTAGTTAAACTACATCTCTCTCTCTCTCATTCACAAATTTTCATCTTTTTATGTTATCAATAGCTAATTTAACCGTTTGTACAGGGTTACCCACAAAGGATGAGACTTCAGAGACGATTGTAGGGAATTTATACTGTCTGTTTCCTTATATTCACTTTTCCCTTCAACGTAAACTTGTTTCTTTCTTTGCCAAATCATTATATACGCCATTGGATTACTGTACATAAGGCCGAATACTTAATTTAACCTTGGGATCGTCACATTTTAAGAGTTTTTGGTCGTCTTTACAGTCTCATCCTTTGTGGGTAATGCTGTATATGAAATTATATTTTAAAGTTTTTAATTTGCCTAAATAACAGTTTAAAAGGTTTGCAATTAATTTTGATTTTCGTATCCCTATATCTTTACCATGAATTATATTGGATCAACTAATCAAAGTTTAAACCATCAGGTTCCAAAGATATAGGGATTAGAAAATTTGAGTAGGGGGTTAAGACTCAATTCCTTTCCATTTCTTTACTCAAAAGATAAACAACTGTTTTTCTAGAATAGAATATTTCAAGTGACACCTCTGATATTTTACCTGAAACAATATAAAATTTGACCAGCTTTATTTCAGGATTTGTGAGTTTGGTGGGTTTGCCTGTAAAGAAAATCCTTCTGTAATTGATACTTCAACTCATAGATGGAGTGATAAACTATTTAAAGCTGTTAAAGAGTCCTGTAAACTTATATTTGATAATCCTGCTTGTCCTAACCCTCCTCCACTAGGCAACCCTTGGTGAAATAATATATCTTAATGATAAAGAAGATACAAGGTTATCCAAAAAAGATGATACGTTAATGACGACCTAAAACTTTTTAAAGGGACTGTAAAGGAAAAATGAAAGGGGGTATAGGCTGAAAGCTAATCACTTTAGCTCTTGATCACGAACCATGAAAGTTTTATCTGATGTTCCTGTCTCGAGAAATTGATATAAAACTGTGTTAAAATTATACGAAAGATCATATATGTAAAATTTAGAAAATCTTAAACTTAAATCATTTGACCAGAACTATCACCAATGGCAGAGCAGTATACTGGTCACGTGTCTCCGCCTGTATCACGTGACCACTTTACTGCACTGCCATTGGTGCAATTTCTGGTCAAGCAATACGGACGTATAAATAATATTATGAATTAAATCTATAAAAAATAGAAATAACAAATATAAAATTAGAATTGGAGTAAACTTAAGTTACAATTAGCTTTCTCTGGGATATCATCGTTTTCAGATTGGTTGCATATTTGCTGAATTTGATCTTTTTAAACCCACCACTTTTATGCAAAATTGTATATATATTAATTTTCCTATAAAGTTGACAAAGTTGTAAATCAGTTTCTCGAGACAGGAACATCAGATATAACTTTCATGGGTCGGGATCGAGAGCTAAAGTGATTAGCTTTCAGTCTATACCCCCTTTCATTTTTCCTTTACATTCCCTTTAAACATGACGATCTGAAGGTTAAATCAAATACATACACTGTCTTGAATAATTAAGAGATGTTTATAAATGTCATGTTACCCTTCTTTGGTACAAATCTATAATTGTATTACGGTGTTACGTAGATTTAAAAATTCGGTCCTTTTCCCACCAAGCTGTGATTTTCAAGCACAATTTGACCAAGCAATCATATATTTTTTGCTTTTCTGTTTTATACTTTTTTGTCAGCGGATGAGTTTTAAATGTAAACATAAAAAAGACAACGCTGTACATTTTTAAATAGTTCCATTATTGACCAAAACGTGATTAGATTAGTTTTGAAAACCCGAATCTTAAACATGGTGACAACAGTATACTTGATACACACCTGTATAGTTTGACACTCGATCTGCTTTATGTATAAAATACGGGTTGCTTTGATTTATAAAAAGAATCTAAGAATTTTTAAATATTTGTTCAATCTTCATAAAATACTACATTATCAAGCTTAATTAAAAATATCGAACGGTGGCCGTATAAATAAATTATTGTTTTTGTTAGAATTGAAGTATTATATTCATCTTATAGATGTATTATATTATTATATTTATCTTATATTGCAATCTGAAGGAAAGGATCTAATAATTGTGAAATATTTGCTCAATTCCCATAAAATAATTTATTATTATACACCCTGCCATAAGAATTTATGATTGGGTTTTCATAGAATTGAAACTAATTTAAACTAACTTTCTACAGTTATAACAATTCTAAATATTGTATTCATAATATAAAGTCTAATCTAAAAGTCAGGATCTATGATAATTGTTAAATAATTTCCATGAAATTAAATAAACACATGATCAAACTCACAAATTAATTGAACATATAAATAAATAATTGTCTTTTTGTCATTTTTAAATTTAGAAGCATTGTATTCAAGGTATATAGCAATCTGAAGGAAAGGATCTAATATATACTTTATAACCATTAAATAATAGATCAATATTATGGAGGTTGCTTAATTAAACACATATAAACCAGCCGTATGAATTATTAATTTTTTTTGTTTGAAGTTTAATCAATTTAAGCGAAGAAGCTGGAGTTGTAATGAAGTCTAAAAGAACGAGTCTTTGCGACAAACTCTGATGTTCTAATCCTTTATCTTTGTAAATTCAATGTTGTGGACCAAATGAGTTTTTAAATGAAATAATAGATTATTATTATTATGCAGCTAGCTTATTTAAACATTTAGAACCGGCTGTATGAATAAATGAGCGAAGTTGCTCAAGTTGTAACGTTTTTAAATTTATATAGAAGTAATTTATTCAAGGTATAGACTATTGAGCAATCTGAGGGAATGGGTTTAATATATGCTTAAATTAAATTAAATTAGATAATAGATTAGTATTATAAAGGTTGCTAGTTTAAACATATATGAACCAGCCGTATGAATCAATGATTTCTTTTCTAATAGAATTAAAACCAAACGAAAGAAAATATAAATTCAAATTTAGACGACCCTCTGGTATGTCTGATGTACAACTCTACCCTGAAAATGTACATGCGATTTCCATGTTTTCACTTTAAAATTAAGTTTCAATTGTGTTTTCTCTATTTAAGGCACTTGCGGATTAATGCTACATAAAAAGTACAGAAAATCGTGAAAATTTACCCTTTCAAGCTAGAAAATAACAATATCTTCAAAAATTATGAATCAGAGAAAGGTTAAAAAATACCGATGTGAATCAAAATGGAGGTTACTTGAAATTACGTCTAAAGCCCATTTTAAAACCTTGTAAAAATGTTTTCAGAACTGCAAACTAGCATTTATTGCCAAGCATAATTAAAGCATGTATATTAAAAAAGTGTACCGTAACCGTACTCATCCTTTTTTTGACCAGACACAGAAGTACCGTACTGAAATTTATATATAATGTCGGTGCCAATGTACGTAGACAATTCGATTCATTTAAAGTACCGGTGCGATCTCCAGACAGCTAGAGCATATTGTACAGTATATGTACAGACGGGACGGTACACTAAATGAAATCACCCCAAGATAGTCAATAAGTTATTGCAACGAGGCGCGCACAAGAATGAAAGGTCGATACGGTACGGGGAAGGTCTGGACGTGGCTGACATCAATGACTATCTATCTATCCCAAGAGAGTTCTAGGACCCAATCTTTTCATCTGAGATCCCAGATTTTTAGTGGAGAAACTATCAAGTAGTTCAATGGAGACCTCTAACTTTTCTTTTAATTCCAAATTTTCACAGATTTACACTGGAGCCCCCAGATCTCCAATGAAAATTGGTGGTCTCCGACGAAAAGTTTGTGGTCTCCAATGAAAATCTGGGATCTCAGATGAAAATTTAATGGTCTATGATATGATGAAAATCTTGGGGTCTCCAATGAAAAGATTGGGTCTCCTATGAATGAATTATGGTCTCCAACGAAAACCTGGGGATCTCCAATAAAAATCCTGGGGTCTCCAATGAAAAGATTGGGGTCTCTGATGAAAATATGGGGGTCTTTGATGAGACAGTCATGGGGTCTCCGTTGAAGGGGGGGNTTATAGTACTCCAATGTTGATGACACAAGAAAACATTAAAAATTTTCCCAGGTCATTTTACATAACAGTTCTTCTAAACAACTGTCTAATATTTATGCATAAAAACACCTAGCAAATGTCGATAATGTGATCTAAACGAAATTTGTTTAAAAAGTCAAATAAAAATTATTAAAAATTTTAAAAATGTCCTAATTGTCAAGTGTACTTATGTTATTGTTCATTGTAAAAATAGATAAACCTTTAGCATTTCTTATGTATTTGTTCTCTAAATATCTTTTCTGTAATTTATAAATGTTTTACTAAAAATATCAATGTCAAAGTATCTATCTATTAAAATATCAAAACATTTATGACAATCGAGCACAATTTTGTAATTTTCTGAGCTAAATAATTTTCAAAAATGTAAGACGCAGACTTGCTTGTGTAAATAAAATTAGCCACAAGTTATTGCTTGCATTTTTCCACAGAATGTACAGAGCGTCCCATATCATATTAGATTATCTCCAATCTTTAACGCCAAAATACGCACATAATACTCAAAAAATCTAGTATTTTCTGCAAAAAAAAAAAATTCTATTAGCCTAAATAAATTTTTTTAAATGATTCATTCTTCTTAAATTTTCTGATTTATCCCACAAATTGTAATTTAGACCCATTGACGCGGTCTAATTTGATGTGGGACACCCAGTATATACTATAGAATAACAGGTGGCAGCATTTGGTTTGGGAAGTGTTGGACTGTGGAGGTTATGCAGTACAATACATACATGTCCAGATGTTCAGTAATCTTGGGGGGGATTTTGAAGATTCACTTTCCAAACTTTCTCTTGTTATCTTATTATCTTTACTTTGATTAATCAAACATGCATTTTCAAAACTGTTTCAAATAGAATTGGGTATTTAGGATAAGTCAGAAAATTTCAACAGCCTCAGATCAATACTTTTTAGTTCTGTAAAAAAAACTACGGGGGGGGGGTCTAATTGACCAGAAAATTCAGGATTAGTAAGCCGATTTTGAGGATCAAGTTTTAACTTTTAAAGTCCAGTAACCATGAAACATAGCAATTGTGCAATGTAAACAGACCCATTTCACAAAAAAGGTAATTGTTCCAGTGTCTGGTAAAGCTATTTGCTTTGTAACACGATCAAATACACTTTAGTATTGATATAATGTCGTCTTCCTATTTCATTGTTTTCTGGTTATCACTGAATATAAAAGTTACATTTCGGAAAAGTCATTGATAAGTAAATATAAAATCAGTTGTCACATGTTTTTATTTGTCAACAACAACAAAAAAGTCATTTTCAACATATTTCAGGCCTTTTAAAGGGGGGGGGGTAGGGCGGGTCGCCCCCAAATAGACCCTTCATAAATTTAAAGCAGCCAGATTTCATAGGGTTGAATGAAATTACATTTATCTTAAATTATTCATTAGAACAATATTAACGAAATAAGCAGGGGCAGATACAGGGGGGGGGCGGCAGGACCTTCGCACCCCCCTAAGGGATTCAGGGAGGGTGCGTATCCCCCCCTCCTGAGATTTAAGAATAGCTCCTCAATAGCACTTAAGAGAAGGAAAACCTAGCGCAAAACAGGAAAAACATCTATCTTAAAAAAACTTCTGTTTTTAAATCTGAATGTTTTTGTTTCGAAATAAATCTAGCACCCCCCTCACTTAAATCCAGTGTCCGCCCCTGTAAATAAGTCAAGACTCACCCTCTCCATTATCTAGCTGTTCCTGTTGATGTGGATGGTGGGGAGGATGGAGA